AGTTTGATTTGTTCGTGTATATGTATTGTATGATTTGTTTACTAATTCCACATCCTATGGTCTTTCTAACATAAGGATCTATGGAATGCTATATGTATGTATGTATGTACTCTTGGTAGTGTTAACTACAGTGTAAGTCAGGATACCCATATATGACAAGAAACCAGTAAACTGTATGACACTCCACAAGCCCTGGATAATTCTTTTCTACTCACAGATTCACATCGTGCTTCATGAGCCTCATTCTTGCATCTCGTGGCCAACACTTCTTGTTGTTGTAGCCAACAATGTTTTCATTGTTTGGGTCTGGATGCTCTGTCAGGTACCTCTGAATCAAATCTCTTGCCTCCTCAGCAGTAAACCTGTGCAATCAAATGTCCTTAAAATATCCAAACCATTTAATTAACTACAATAATAAAATAAGTTAGAAAATGTACATATGGCCATGATCATGCCATGTTAGCCACATTTTGTTTAATTTCCTGAAAACTGCACAACTTTCAGGAAAAGTTTACAGGGCATAAAAGGTCCATTTCGTTTTTCTCAATGTCTGTTTGAAGCATTTCTTGCACCAATAAATATTTAACATGTGCAATATAAAATTTCATGATGGCAAATTTCTGCACATTTTCCATCATCCTTAATTTTTATCTGAAACAAATGTTTTGAAGAGGGGACTCTATTTCTGTCCTCCAGTAAACATGCCTTCCCTGTCATACCAAATCAACAGAGCTAGTTTCAATTTCCAGAGATAAGTACTTGCTCTACTGACTGGAACCAACAGTGTAGACTTTTACTTGAGGATGGAACAGCCCAGATTCTGAAACACTTCACACAAAAATACAACAATGAATAACGTCCAAAAATATTACATGCAGGAACACCTGACATTCTCATGTTAAGGGCCCATTATTGTTTCCCAATTTTAGCCCAAATTAAAAGGGGCTGACAAAACTTTGGAAAAACTTCTTAATATCAAATTTCATCTGTTTCAGTAGTTCTTGGGATGTCACATATGGACATACATGGTGAAGCATGTTCCTCAAACTTATCATAGGAAATACAGGAAGAAAGACATGATGACTGAACCTTTCTGTTTCCTTCCCGTGACTTCAGCATGCACCCCTCCAAAGCTGTAACACTATACTGTCCATGCTGAACATTAGGGAACAATATCTCTAGAATTACAGGAAGTTTCTCTTTGGCATCTACTCAATTAGCTGAAAACATGAATTATCATGAACACGCAAAACTAACAAAATTGCAACACTAAAAAATTGAGTGAATTTAATTTAATTCCATTATAACTGCATGCAGAGAAAGCAGTTACCAAATGTCTGTATGAAGTATACATTTAGATCCACTGTTACCTGAAAAATATGTGAACTCTGTCTACGTAACGACAGAAGAGTCTGATGGGATGTGCAACTTCTGACGCAACATCCTGGAATGTAAGGAAGTCATTCGGCATCTGTGGAGGACCAGCCATTTCAGAGGCTCGCTGCAACCCAAGGACTAAGAGATCAAGCACAAGCCCATAGTACTGCACAATGAAAGATGCAAACTGCAGACCACGGATGATCCCATAGCTGTTGGTATGGTTCATGTCCTGCAAAAAAATAACTTACATTTAAAAAGACGTAAAAAGGAGAAATTACCAAACATTCATGATATCCCAACACACTGACTTCCTTTGTGGAGGTGGGTTAGAATACCTCCATGGAAACCCTGCAACTTGCAGGAGACAAAAGGGAATTCAGTGCCTGAGGGCATAACTGGGTCATCCTGTCACTGGGGGACATAAATACAGGGATCTGGTCCTCCAGGTTGGGGATTGCATGCAAGGCCGATGACCTTGCTATGTAACAAAATTACCATTGCAAAATCCAAATAATCTGGCAGGATCTTCTGTGGAATGTTATGGCTCAAAAAGGGTTGTTTTGCCAATGACGATAAACACACTGACTGCCATCATAATTCCCTTACACATTTTTTCCTAGGCCATGACAGTTTATATATTTTTGTCTCAGGATATGTTGAGACACACATAAATTTAATACTCTGTGAAGCATCTCAGTTGCTGATGAACACTATGGTACCGAAAAACCATATTGGGCACCCCCATTAACCTCACAAAGAACCAGTAGATGCACAGTGGCAGCATGGAAATGCACCCGCATTAAGCAGTGGACTTCAAAATCCTCTGTGGCAGAAAGGTAAAAGGTATACCAGGGACAAAGTTGACTGCCATGGCAGCAAGAAAAATGCTCTGCAGACACTGCTGTCTTACATGGCAGCAAATGTGTTAAATAATCCCACACCCTCCCCACATTCCCATTTCCAAAAACTGAACTCTACAACTACTGAATAAAGTAAACAAATTCTGTGGCCTGTAGTCTGCAAGTGAACTATACCCACCAAGCAACCGCCACTTGTTGGCAAAGTTAGTGCCAACTTTTGTGGATAGAGAAGGTCACATGGTCAGCACAACAGATCCCCACAAGGCTGAGTGGAACCCATTCCAGCCCCACTACTTCTCAGAAAAGATGGTAGTCCCAGGAATCAAACTTGGGGCCTGTGGATCTGTAGGCAGGAACTCTGACCACTAGACCATATACTTACTTACTCATGGAGCTGAACCTTTCTGGAGGATCTGCCAATTCTGCAGCTAGTCAAGAATTTCTCACCATTTTATGGAACCCGAAGGTTCATTACTGTGTTCACAAGAGCCCTCCACTGGTCCCTATCCTGAGCCAGAAGAATCAAATCCATACCATCCCATCCTATCTCTCTAATATCCATTTTAATATTAACTAGTTTCATGGGTACCCCAAACTCTTATCAGAATACTGTACAATACTTCCCTCCTAACTGAATCATAGGCTTTCTGAAGTCTATGAATAGCTGAAGTACTGTCTCATCGTACTCCCATTTTTTCTCCAATATCTGACAACGCAAAAGATCTGATCTGTAGTTGATCTGTTATGTCGAAACCCACACTGATGATCCCCAATAATTTCATCTAGATATGGACTTAACCTTGAGAGAAGAATATTGGATAAACTTTTGTATGAAGTTGATTGCAGTGATATCCCCCGATAATTACTACAGTCAGTCTTATCACCCTTCTTGTGAACTGGTACAATAATAGACTCCTTCCACTGATCAGGCAATTTTTCCTTATGTCAAATAGAAGTAATTAGATTGTGGATCTCAGAACGTAATATTTCGCCTCCTGCTTGAATAAGTTCTGCAGGAATTTGATCACTACCTGGCGATTTGTACTGTTTCAATTTTGCAATAGAACAGGCAGCCTCAAAAGGGCTAGGATCAGGTACTAACGGTTCAGCTGTACCGATTTCTGTCTGCCTAACATCACTGAACCTGTGTACATTCAATAATTGAGAGTAGTAGTTCCTCCACCTATTCAAAATGTTGTGGGAATCTGCAAGCAGATCACCATTCTCATCCTTCACTAACTTACTTCTAGGCTGGTAACACATCTTAAAGTCATTTATCCCTCTATACAGGTCTCTAATATTCTTTTTCTTACTGTTATCTGTAAGCTCATCAATTCTGTATTTCAGATATTCCTTCTTTTTGGTCTTGAAATGCCCGCTGGTTTCATGTCTTATATTGTTCAGATTATCCCCATTTAACTCGCTTGGATCCTGTAACCATTGCAATTTGGCCTGCTTTCTTTGATCTAATAATTTTGAGCATCCTTCATTGAACCGTGGCTTATGCTTCTTCAGTTCATAATAACTAGACTCTCTTTGGTAGACATTTTTATATTCTCTCTAATAGTTTCCCAAGCTTTATTAACATCCACCTCAGTTTCCAACTTTTCCAAAGCCGTGAACCTATTTGAGATTTCAACACAATACTGCTCTTTACCCTCTACCTCATTTAATTTCTTGAGATTGAACCTCTCCATATGAACTCCATGTTTTGTTTGTTTGCTCACTGCCAGTCTTTCCCTAACCTTTGCCACCACCAGGTAGTGGTCAGTATCACAATCTGCTGCCCTGAATGATCGGACATCAAGTATACTTGAGTGCCGTCTCCTATCTATCAAAATATGGTCTATTTGATTGTGTATCTTCCAGTCAGGAGATGTCCAAGTAAATTTATGGATGTTACGATGTGGGAACATTGTACTTTTTACAGTAAGACTTTTGGATGCGGCAAAGTTTACTACTCTAACTCCATTATCATTAATAATTTCATGCAAACTCTCATTCCCAATCGTAATAATAACATAACATAATGATTAATAAAGAAATGCAGTATACTTCTTGTGGGTCATTCATTGATGCTTTCAGTAGCTAATCTAGTGTCAAATGAATGTTGACAGTTGAATGAAGTAGAAAGCATTGGAATGAAGCAGCTATGGCCCAAATGAGGTACAAGCTTAACATGTCTGGAAGGACCAAAGAAAACCACAAAAAACTCCTGCACATGAGTGCAAGCCACAAGCACTACTGCTGTGCCAGTCTACCCAGTGTTCTCAACTTTCTAATGTTGTAGTATTATAGCAGTATATGAGCTATTTTAGCACTCAGCAACAGAAGAAATTTTTATTTTCTTGGTATTCTTGTCATTTTTCAATGTTTACTCAATAACTACGAAGGATACCAAGAACATGTGTATTTACAATTGTAGCACCTTTTCCATTATCTGTGAAAATTAACACACTTTGCTGACAATATCAGCATATAGATAAACTCATATCACAGACACTGTACCTTATAGTTGATAACAACGTTGTTTTTGGCTGTCATGTAATCGGCAATGTTGTGGTCCACAATGAGCCTGAGTAATCTGTTCAGCAGTGTCAAGTCAATCTTTTCATACATCTTTTCAAACTTGGACTCAAGAAGTACATTGCATTCACCTTCCATTACATCCCAGACATCCTGCAGATTGTTGATACCTAAAACATGAATACATGTATTCCGTAATCTTGTAAAAGGTGAAACTGGTAAAATGAAAAAAATATGTAAACTGGATAACTGTGGGAAAAAACTCAAAGTTCCAAAGCCCGCATATTCAGCATCAAATAAACGTCTGAAAATTAACTGTTTTCCTTCTGCTTTGCTATTACCTACAAATTAAACTGTCCTTATCATAATCCACGTCAGTCCAGTCCATACGACCCCATTCTCTCTCTCTAAAATCCATTTTAATACGAGGGTAAGTCAATAAGCAAGTTACAAATAGATACAGAACTTAAACAAATAAAGAGTACTGATTTGAAAAATGCTTTTATTTCTCAACATTATCTCCTTGTACATTGAGGCACTTGTCCCATCGTTTCACAAGCCCCTGAAAACCAGCAGCATAAAATTCTTTGGGCTGCTGTCGGATCCAGGCAGTGACTTCCCTTTCTACAGCTTTGTCGGGAAAATGTTCAGCCTCAAGGACAAACCGTAAATGCCGACTCCTACTGCAACATCCTCAGGAAACTTCGTAAGGCCATTCAACGAAAGTGAGCAGGACTCCTCACCAAAGGCATGTTGCTCTTGCATGAAAACACATGTCCCCATACTGCCAACAAGACAAATGAGACGCTGCAAAATTTCAAGTGGGAAGTCCTTGAGCATCCTCCATATAGCCCCAACCTTGCTCCGAGCGACTTCCATTTGTTTGGCCCTCTTAATCATCATCATCATCATCATCTTTCAGCTGAACATTTTCCCAACAATGAAGCTGTAGAAAGGGAAGTCACTGCTCGGTTCTGACAGCAGCCCAAAGAATTTTATGCTGCTGGTTTTCAGGGGCTTGTGAAACAATGGGAGAAGTGCCTCATTGTACAGGGAGATTATGTTGAGAAATAAAAGCATTTTTCAAATCAGTACTCTTATTTAAGTTCTATATCCATTTGTAACTTACTTGTTGACTTGCCTATGTCTTATCCACCCACCTATGTCTTGGTCTTCCTAGTGGTTCTTTCCTTCTACCAATAATTACAATAAGGCCAAAATGAAAGATGTCTTCAACATAATACAGAAGACCAGAGATACGTCAGAAGCATTACCTTGGCACCACTTGTACACCAGCAGTGGGGGTGGTTCCGTATCCGAGGGCTTCACCCATGGAGGGAATAATCTTCGCTTATCTGCTTCATACCACAAATACTGATCCAAATAAGCATCTGTAATCTTTTCCAGTGGCTCGACATCATACACTGGCACCAAATGACTGTAGAGATCCATAAACTCAATACCAACCTATAAGAAAAAACTGACCTGTTTAAAACACAACAGCTTTCAAAAGTTCTACTTATTATACCCCATTAGCAGTTTGTTATTTGATAATACAATTAGCAAACAATATATAACAAGGAACATAAATGACTCCAACATAAGATTCAAAACAAAACAGTAAAAACATATTTATTTCTCATGTAATTTGAATTTGATGTTTTAAACAATATAATACAATACCTCTTTGAAAGCCCTCTGCGTAAGCAAATGTCTCTTGATTCGTGACAAAGCCTCGTGAGGATTATCATAGGCTTGTTCAATCAGACCCAGTTCCTCTCGCTGGCTTTGATTCAGCCTGGATTTCACACTGAAAATATAAAACTGAAGTTAATAAAACTTCAACAGTGTTATAGGTGCCAATAGTAGTTACGTTCGGCAAACTGAAACACTGATAAGAACGGGAAAATTTATCCCCACAGATGCATAAAAAACAGGATTCACTTAATGGAAAGTCTGTGCAATATTTACAACTTTTTGTTTCACTTTATGGTCTATATAAAAATTGAAACATTGGTTGAGAAATGGGGGAGAGGACAACTCTCTAAATAAAAGCATACCTGTATGCTTCCTTCAGCCTCTCCAATGACAAGATCAGAAGTTTGGTGTCATGCTTGTACGAGAGAGGGGGGAATGGAATAGGTGCAAATCTTCGAGATTCAAGCCAATGAACTGTGGTGGTGTAGATGGCAACAGCCTCTTCAGGTGAGATGTATGGACCATCCTAGAAACCCAGAAAAATGCTCTGACAATAAATGTAAGAGGGTAAATATTTCATTGTGATGCACAAAGTTGAACAATAAGCAGCTTTATACTTGTAACACAAACAACACATACTTTGCATACTGTAATGCCATAGAGGCAACGTCAATTCAAGAACTTGGGATGCAAAATCTCTCTCCTTTCACATTCAAATATTACTTCTGACACTGACAACATCACATTCCTGCATATAAACTTTCTTTATAATTCTATAAACTGCTTCTAGGGCTGAATGACATCAGATAACTCATATTCAAATTCAATACATATAAGAACACATCCTCACATAAAACGGAATCATGACAGACTTAGTGGAAGGATGTAGGACTCATGCCCTGCAATTCCTTCATTCCTATACAATGTTTAGTAGTCTTAGAGCAATGAAGATATAAAGACCAGAAAGACACATAAACTGTCAGTCGTCTTTGCTGCTCAACAAATTCAATGAAACAGCTGTAATAAACTGCACCAGTGAAAAGCATATAAAAAGACATCTCACAACTAAAAGTACCTTCAAGTAGTTATGCTGACGTTCCTGTTCAGCCTTGAGATACAGTCGAGTGAGTCGACCTAAGTTCTTCTTGCATACTGTCTTGTCAACTGTAGCTCCACGACGGATACGCTCGCGGTTATAGTGAGCCGTGTTGGTCCACCAATCTGCCTTCATCTTCACATAACGCAGGATCATGTTCTCAATTGGGATGGGAAGACCAGGTACCTGTAGTACAGAAAACCTGATAATTCCAAACAGCTTTTCTTGAAATATGTCCATGTGCAGTTGAAAGTTTAATTTCCTGTACTACTGATGAGAAAATTCTCTTAGCTCAGATAGCGTGGATCCAGTCTCTCGCAGTAGGAAATCTCATCTCAAACAAGAATTTCACATGCACTGAAAAGACTGTCAGCCCACATGAACGACTGATTTCAGGACCCCTACGCAACTCATCATTGCTTTCAATACTGCAATTTATATCCAAACAAAACCCACCAAAAAATATCCAAATAAAAATATACTTTCAAATGAACTGACCTTCCATGGAATGTTTGCTTTCCAGCATCGCCAAGCTTCTGAGAGATGCTGAAGAATGGTTCTGGCTTTATTCTGTTTGATTCCCTCAGGCATCATGTCCACAATATCGTGCATCACCTAAAAACAATATAATTCCAATGCAACTCACAGCCAGTTTACAGTATTATATCTGTTTCTTAACTAAAAGTATTAATTCAACATTTAACCTACAGATCACAAATCAAACTGAGTGGATGCAACTCACAGAGGCTCGAAGTTCCAGATCAAAGTGACTTTCTACTCTCTGTTTGGTGACAGTCTTGGCAACTCCTTTGGAGTGTCGACCCTCAAACTGTCTAGAAAGAAGGTTGCCAAGCCATCGCTCCAGCAGTGGGGTGATTCCTCGCATGAAGAAGAGCCAAACTCTCCATCCCGGAGCCCAGAAACCACATCCAGGGCCTTTCCCCACTGGACCCTGGATAGAAAATATTATCAATATTGGAGTAACTTTTCCTACAATTCCTCCATTCAGTTGTGTGAGTGATGTGGGGCCAAGTGCCTTGCTACTACAGTCTCCAATAAACCCTGATGATAGATGAGCATGGATGGAACAAGTGGATATTAATTGGCAGAGGAAAATCTGTCCCAATGACATCTGGCCACTAAATATCCCACACAGACCGCAGGACTAAATTCAGGCTCATATAGCCTGAGCTATGACACAGCCTTCTTACACGTGTAGATATACAGTTCACATACCATCATGAGATACTACAGGTTAGTTCACTACTGTACAACACTGCTACACCTGTCAAGGTTATTTTCTACGGATTCAGTTATCACAGTATGATTGTGTGAATGATTAAATGGAAGTGCTGTGGGGTATCCCTTGTACACACACAGTGGGACACAGGAGAACTACAAATACCAGTCAGCAGCTAAAGTTTTCGGCTGTAATTCTAAGTGGTTAACCAAAACTCTGCTTGCTGCCTGCCCCATGCTGGTATTTTACTTGGCTTACTCTTCAACCATAGCACATGGTAGCATAGTTGGTTGAGGCACTATGTTACAAGCCGGAAGGTTGTGGGTTCAAGTCCCGTTGAGGTCATTGGATTTTTTCAATTGACCTAATCCTTCCAGCCGCACTATGGCCCTGGGGTCATCACAGCCTCTAACAGAAATGTGTACCAGGAATATTCTTGGGGGTAAAGGGCGACAGGTGCGTAGGGCTGACAACCTTGCTGCCATCTATGAGCCGACTGTCTAGAAAATGTGGGAACCTCAACATATCACAAACCTATGGACCTTCACGGCCTGTTACAGGGATACCTATACTTTACTTTTTTTTACTCTTCAACCCTAAGGTAGGGGTAAAATGTTCCTTCAAAACTTCAGCTGACTTTTACCACACTAAACAGAACTGTGGAAGACAACAGCTGCAAACAATGAGGTGGGACTTCACCTCACCTCGTCAAAGCATCTACCCAACGAACAGATTCGCATTCAGACTGGACAAAAGTATTAAGTAGTGACTCACAGTATTGAAGCGATAGTAGATTAGGTGCTTAAGATCCTTGCACATCCGTATCTGCCTCATCAGTTTGTACTTGTAGCGATACATTCCTGTGAGTTGCCCCACATGTGCAAAGATGTACTGAATACCGTCTGACAGCTGGAATGCATCCACATTGTTCAAGCGGTACTGGACATGTGAGTCAACAATCAACTTTGTCAAACGCAGGATCTCACGACAAAGATGGAAAGCTGAAAATAAAATATTATTTACTACAATACACACTGCAGAGATTGTTTCACACCTGTTCTTAACTTGTATCAAAACATAAATACAGAGGGACCTCTCCCCCCCATTAATGTTCCTTGAACCAACATATTCATTCAGATAACATTAAACTTCAGTGATCTCAAATCAGTAATTTCAGTGTTAAATTTTGATTTAAAACGTTTCTTAGTTTACTGTCCAAATCCTCTGCTACCCAAGGTAACCTTAAAGAGATAGTTTACTGTATATCGTACATGTACAAGCACAAATGTTCGTTCTTTGCTCAGGACACAGTTTCTTTCCTTGTCAGTAGGTATCCCAATTTACAGTAGCTGAAATTTTATAGAAAAATATTCAAACTATAAAACACACTATAATCATTATTAAAAAAAAAAAGAATATTGGAAGCAAGGATTTTAACCCATCCAAATACTCTACTGCCATGCTTTAACAGCTTACATACTGGCATTACTACAGAGTAAATTTAATATTATTTTTAGGTGTTCTCCTTTGGGTCTGTGGTAGAAAAAAATGACACAGAGAAGCATCAACACAAGAGTTGCATTTTTATATATAGGAGACACGTGTCTGTATAATACAACAGATAATTTCATTTAGTTATTTATGGTTTATATAATTATACTGTCAGTAGCTCAGACTACCCAATGTCAAACAGAGGGATTATTAATAAATAATGAACTGGAAAGGAAACAATCATGGTACAATTTAAGGTACAAAAGTATAACAAATACATACCATTTCCAAAACGAGACTTCTTTCGCTCCTTTGTTGTGAGAGTCTTAACAGGTTTCAAGTTGAAATTGTAGTCTAGATGCAAGTAGTTCAGATTTTTACGATGTATCAGCAGATTCAGCATGTTATAACCTTGACGGCACACCTGTAGCCCAGCCTCAACCCAGTCGAGTGTGGTTGTTTGAAAGAACTTTGTAGACTTGAATGACCGGAACAGGTACCTGACACATGAATAAGAACATCAGTCATGACTGAAGAGTGCAAGTATATACAAATCTGTGGATTCAGACTTTTAATTTGAAAGTAAACAACTTCGATCTTCACTGTTTGGGAAAAGGTGGCTTTAAAACCCCCAGAAATATGAGACTCGCAGATTTGAACTTGTGGGTAATCGTACTAGTATTCAAAATGCAATGTTTGTCCAGTTGGACAAGGTGAATATGCCTTAACAACAGAGTGACATAAAATCAATAAAGTTTAAAAGGCTTCAATCATTTCAATGATATTGTAGCATGTAGACCAGCTACTAGGTAACAGCCACAAACAGGTTCCCATGGTAATAAATACACATATAATAATACTGGAATGTTGGAAAAGGTGTTTTCTATTCAATCCACACAAAGGAATTATGTAACGAGGTAACCAGCCGAACTACAGTCAGGTGAAATGTGAGGCTGTGAAGAGAAGACTAGGAGGTTGGTGTGCAATGACTGCCAGCCTGGGAGTTAGTTAAAACACTGAGAAAACTGTGAGTAAGTCTCTGATGTGCAGACTTTGTGCAGTCAGCACAGAAACTGAATAATCTCCACAGTTAAAATCTGTTGCCAGGAAACAACTAGTGAAGACTGAGAAGACTTTGTGTGTGCTGCAGTTACAGTGACATTTGGAGTGTGTAATTCCATGAGACTGTTACAGTTACTTGTAGTTATGATTCAAAAGTGGTCAATAAATCCAATATCCAATCCAAAACTCCGTCGAGATTCACTGTAATATGGAACAATGTCAATATAACGGGGTATAGTAGGATGTTTGCATATCTGAATACAACACAATATGAAACACACATATCTTTGAATGAAAGCGTCTCTAACTACGAGAGTCGTACTGAAAGTCATGAGCAACAATCTTTTGTAAAGTTACATGCTTTATTATTGACAAACCAAATACACCACCTCAATCTACAGACCTTCCTTTATTTTTCCACATAATAGCCACTTCTTTGTACACATTCCTCCTAGCGTTCTGGGAGTTTGAAAATTCCACTTCTGTAAAATTCATTTCCAGCCATCCAAAGACACTGACACACCGCTTTCTGAATTGCCTCCCTTGTCTCAAAACGTTGTCCATGCAGCTGATCCTTCACAAATCCGAAAAGATGGTAGTTGGAGGGGCCCAGATCAGGGCTATAGGAGGGGTGTGGAAGAACTTCCCACCCCATCTTTGCAATTGCTTCCAATGTGAGGCGAGCGGTGTGGGGGCGAGCACTGTCATGCAGGATGACGATGTTTCGTCCTGGACAGTTATTGCACAATGCATGATGGAGCTTGTGCAGCGTCTGGACATAACGAGCAGCACTGATGGTTTGCCTAGGTTCCAGGAATTTGGCCAGAATAAACCCCTCTGCATCCCAGAAGACTGTGCTCATCACCTTCGCAGCTGATGGCACTGTCTTTGCCTTCTTTTTTGATGGAGAATGCAAATGGTGCCATTCCATACTCTGCCGTTTCGTTTCAGGCTCGAAATGGTGAAACCAGCTTTCGTCACCTGTCACAATACAGAGCAAAAAACCATCACCTTCGTGTCTGTACTTCTGCAGTAGTTCTGAGGTGATGGCTTTTCACTGACCTTTGTGGTCTTTGGCAATAACCGAGGGACACAACGAGCACAAGCGTTCCTATAGCCCAAGCTTTCAATCATCTCCTGTACTGCACTGTGCCCTATTCCAAGTTTTCATGCTATTGTGTCCACAGTCACATGCCTGTCATCTTGAATGATCTCATCCACTCTTTCCTTGTTGCGTTCAGTTGAGGCTGTTCGAGGACGACCATTCCAAGGCTCATCTTCGATGCTGGTGTTCCCCTCTTTAAAATGTTTCACACATCTTTGAACACTGCTCACACCCATGCACACACTTCCACAATCATGCTGAAGTCTCTGGTGAATTTCTGCAGCAGGGGTTTCCTCTTTCACAAGAAATTCGATAACAGCACGCTGGCGAAACGACATATCGTCAGCCATTTTGTTAGGAGTGATACTGGTCATGTGATGCAAGCTATAGACAATACAAGACACTCAAGGTTAACACAACAGCTGGTTCCTCCTACCACCGTACTTTCTTTCGTCTGCTGTTCCCAGGTTGCATTAAAAAAAAAAGTTGCTCATGACTTTCAGTACGACCTACGTACAAAGAACAGAGTCCTTCAAAAGCTAAAAGTTGCTCAGCTACTCAAGAAATTCCCCCCATGTTATGGCGCCTGAAGATTCAGTACCATGTTCATAGCAGTCTGGTACTGGTCCATATTCAGACCAAACCATTTCTCTATGGTTCATCTTAATATTAACTCCCCCTATGCCTACCTCTTCCAAGTGGTCTGTGATTTCTTTCCTCCATGTTTCTCATTCAGATTTTGCATTTGTCTCATTTCTTTCCCAAATATGTCACATGCCAACTAATTGCATCCTCCTTGATTTGCTAACACTAGTTCATGGAAAGAAGTGCAAATTATGACTTGTCATTATGTATTTAAGGAACTTCTGGATGATGTAACTACAGCATTTTGTGTGTGTGTGTGTATATATATATATATACACATTTACAATCATAACTCAATCTGCCATTCGAACAAAGGTTCCACATGTGATCAAGTGAGTAACTGGGCTACAAGATCATTTCACCCTCCTCATTCTAATACTGCATGTTAACTTTCACCCTCTAGCATTAAACCTCTTGCTATTACACCTCTGCACAATGAGGCGCTTCATAACTTGTACTCCTCGCAAAACACGATTAGAATGATCAAGTCAAGGAGGATGAGATGGGCAGGGCATGTAGCAGAATTGGGGAGATAGGAATGCATATAGGATATTGGGCTCTTGTGAACACAGTAATGAACTTCTGAGTTCCATAAAATGGTGGGAAGTTCTTGAGTAGCTGCACAATTGGCAACTTTTTAAGAAGGGCTCAGTTCCATGAAGTTAATTAGTTAAGTTATTACACCACCAGCAGCTGGTTTTAAACTTTGCAGTAACTGCATTTATAGTGTAAACAATGCAACACTACGCTTGCAGGACCAGAGCATGGGTGAATACATTTGTGCAGCTTGTGAACTACAGTTTTCTCCCTTAAGTGCAACAAATAAGCAATATACAAACCGTTTCTTCTGTGGTTTTGGTGGTCTGTGCTTCAGTGCATTCAATACGAAGTATTTCAGCAACTTCTGGTAGCTGACTCTCACTTTCACTGGTTGACCAGGTGGACAATGTTCCCTGTACCATGACTTCACAAGAGGCACATCAATTGCTCTGCGAGTCCGACCTACAGAGAGAACAATACTACTTCACAAACAGAAAATATATCAGTTGGTGTATGTAGGTTTGCTTGAAATGTTCATCTGACTGTGCTCACAGAGGACAAAGACCATGGGGAAAATGTTCAAATAACACAGTACACAGCATGGCTGATACTTTTCACTGTACCCCTTTAAAAGTATTTACCTGTTGTTTTAATGTGGGGGAGGAATGACAACAGGACAGACAACTGAATTGGATGGTAAAGAAAGTCAGAGAAAGGCAAGGACATAAAACCTTGAAACGAACAAACAAAAGGAAGGAAGAGTGAGAGAAATGAATATACGACAAAACTTATTTAGATTAGACACTAAACTTACTTATATACTCAAAAGTGATGACCAGATGATAGGATATAGTAAAGGTAAAGCTGTCCCTGTACTTAACTAAGCACTATGCCATGAAGACATATGGAGTGGATCTACACATTCACATATTGAGCCCAGCACTACCTGGAGGCGACTGGTTAGCCCCATGCACTGATTGCTTTACTCCTGGGGAAAGATCTGCTGGTACCCACTGGACAGGAAGCTGGATGAGCCCCAGAACCAGTCTGGACAACATGGAAAGGAGAATAATGTTGCCTCTGCCAGGACCCGAACTCTGATCTCTTGGCCCTCCAGCCCCTAAGCCAGTCATTATACTGATTTCACTATGCCAGCTCCCTTTGATGGGACACAGTTCATAAAATAAAAACTGATATTTTTCACTGATTTTTTTACAAGGCACTGCACTACTTACATATAAGGAAAGGATGGTCTCCTAGAGTTCAATCAGAACTTCATATATAACTTTTTTTACAAGGCACTGCACTACTTACATATAAGGAAAGGATGTCTCCTAGAGTTCAATCAGAACTTCATATATATCAAAGTAAAATTAAATACAACAAACATACATCATCACAAAGTTATATCAAGTTGCTTCTATTAGAGTGAACATGTTCTACACACAGATCTTCTATGTAGATTCTTGTCTTCTAGGTTACACCATGTAGTCTCACAGGCAGCTATCATTGTTTTGTGACAAGAAATTCCCCCAAAATACTGATACTCTTCTACAAGACTATACAGTATTACAACCCACAAGATAACCTAAACTGTCACTGCGATATCTCATTCACCAGATTCACTTGCCTGATCTGATGTTAAATGGTCTAGGAGCCCAAAGAAGAGCGATGCCATTTGCTGTGTTATCCGTGTACAGTGGTGTTTCCTGCAGGAATGGCTGTACCTCCTCAGGCAATTCAAACTCCTCATCATCTTCAGGCAAAGGCTCTGTAGCCTAGAATATAAGAAGTTCTTATACAACCACTGTGCACATTTTGTGACAAACACTACCCAACAATACACTGTACATCCATTTAGCATAATCAGATATTTAGTTAATATTTTTTTCTGGTCCCAGATAAAGCCCAGTAGGAACAATGAATTAGTATTTTTCTGCATTTATTGAATTTTTAGCAAACAACCTGTATTTGATGTATAGAAATTTTTCCAACCTTCCAGAACTCATTCTTTGATTTATTGCAAATCTGAACAAAATAACAATGTACATTCACCATTTTTCTCTGTTGGAAATTGCCACCACCTGTTCATGATCTCTGGAAAGTGATGTAACATACTAAACACACAAACACCATGCTCTTTGTGTCATAATCACTTTCATTCTCAATTGAGGTTCTTTCAGTGATTACTTCATTTGGTCATAAATTATTTTTTTTAAATTAATCTGATATTACTGATTATGCAACCATATTTATGTATAGTTTCCTTTAATTATTTATGTAAAGCAGTATTTGTAACATAATTGTATACCGAAAGTCTTATAAGAAGAACAGTTTCCTGATATTTTTGCATAACCTCCATTTACAGAAAATCTAGCTTTGTATAAGAAACACCATTCTCACAGAAGAGATTTATTAGATTGGGATGTCACTGTATTTACCAGGACCTACTATAATTTTTATTCAGGGCAACACTCACCTTAAGTGAGTGTCTGTGAGATATTGGATTGATGAGTGGATCAAAATAGAAAGCTGGTAAGTCAGGATCTTCTGTCTTGATATACACCACATTGGGTGCATGGTACCTGAAAATTAAGCGTCACTTCTGCAAGAAAGAAACTGTAACCAATAATACACTACACAGTACAGTAACTAGAACCATAATTCTGTATCATGTGTCATGTGTCTGTGATCTCAGCAGATGCCTTTCGGCCTGGGAAAAGCAACTAACACGCAATCACAATTTATGTTTCACGCCGCTAGTGAAACACCTTAAACTTCACAGATGCTTAAAAAACAAGCGTGATAAATAACAGTACAATCACAACTGTAGATCAATTAAAATAAACCATGGTCACTAACATAGCACAAAGTAACAACAAGCAATTAAAGCTGTGCCTGACTAAGTATCTTACCAGGAAATATTATGACCATAACATCAAAAGGTAGTTTAAAAAAATTATGCATATTAAACAAACATCTTATACATAAGTCTAGTAAATGCCCTCAGATTAAAAGATTTAAATAAGTCCATGATTTATTTCAACCGTCTTCCAGTGCATACACTCATCTATCTCCTCCTCTCTCTCGCACTTCATGTTTCGGCACAAAATAATTTAAATAATATTAACTTTCATGACATTTTAAGTGCAAATGATTATGAATCATGACAATGCTCTGTCTCTTCTGTATCCATGTTTCATCGCCAAAACAAAGAGTATGGATTTCAGGTAAATATAATATTGGGGCTCTACACAATAACTGTGTTTCATTTTGATTCATAATGGGCACTTAAACATCTATTTCACGTGAACTTTACATCAAAAAAGTCCATCATGAAGAACTGGTACATCCATTACAATGTATAATGCGTATCTGAAGTTCTTATTATGTCCTGAGACATAATGCTCTGTAATATAGTAGAAATTTATGAACATTTCAGAGGCAAGTACTCCATCCCTCCCTCCCTCTTCAGTCAAAAAAATAGGCCAAGCAAGCCAAGGAAGCAAGCAGAGCACTCTGCTTGGTAAACTTTTACTACATAGCACCACACACCAGACAACAAAACTCACAGTAGTAGTATAAACCAGAGCAGAGTACATTGCACAAAATAGACAACACAACATTAACCGTAAATTGGCATGCAACAATATGAAAGTGGAGTTCATTCTCTAGGAAACATTAACATAATGATAGCAACACAACGGTTTAACACAGCAAATAATAGAAGAATCTGGTGAAGGCTATGCATGGTCTACTACAACAGACACAAAGCTCATCACAGCTCAAGAAGTTTCAAAAATAATTTTTAAAAATCAATTTTAGATTTAGTTTTAACCTAATTGTTAAATTAGTTTCAACCTAGTTGTTATTTTTACTGTTTAATCACATGTATGATTCTTGTTTGAATCAATGTCTGGTCTAGTCTAGTGTAGCTGACAAACTGAATATTTATAAAAGTAACTTTTTGAACCATATGTATATAGACGGGAATGCGAGCATTGCAGTTCAGTAGTCGAGTACACGAGACTTAAAGCGCCTGAGGATGGCCCGTTAGGTTCAAAACATGTAGTGCTCTATATGTTAATAAACAATTGTTGTGTTGACCATGGAGTTTGTATATGTAACTTTCACTGGAGATACACATATTTTGTAAACTGGTGCATGCTAAATGAAATAAATTATAACTATGTCAGATGTAATCTGCAAAATCATTAGCTTTGCAACATTAGACATGTGTGCAATTAATATACCTCATGATGGACATCAATCTTTCAGGGGAATCTGCTGCCTTTTGTCATGCAGCACGTTCCTGTTTAACACCAACATATATCTACCAGACTACATGGCATCACATCCCTGAAGACTATAATCTTCAGCCTGATCGCCATGACAGCTTAAAATCTAACAAGACTAAATACATTACATGTACCCAGCAAAGGTGAGACCCACATCAGGGCACCAAGAAATGATGATTCAACTTATTCTGGTAAAAAAAATATTTGCCTGGCTATCAGATTAAAAAAAATGTCCACCCTTGTTTAGAACAATGATGCACATATATATTTTAGAGGAAGGAATTTATTTAAAAATGACCAAGATTAAGTTTACTTACCATGAAAGATGGACATAATGGGGCATATTATTGTAAAGGTATGGGAATGCAATCCTATACTCTGTACGAATTGGTTGACGGATGATAATCTTGTTGATATCGTTGAACTCATTCCAGTCTTCATCCCTATAAAAAACATCAGCTCTCTATAACTTCTCATCATCAAAGGGCATATGCATAATGTTCATATAAGACTGTCAAATACTTACGCAGGATTAGAATCCTTTATAAGAGGTTCAAATTTAGGACCTCCTGGAATGGCCATATTCAAAGCTTTGGCTGTGAAGAATGATTTGTGATCAAAAAGGTAAAAAAAGTTGATATCCACCAAGTCTGTGAGAAGCTGATTAGCAAGTCGATAGAGTGTAGCCATCTGCGGCAGTGACAAGTTCCAGCGTCTGTATGTCGAGCCATTTACATGTCTGAAACACGACAACACCCATAACTCCGAAGTTAGATCACAATATGAAAAATATCTGCAGTGACAAATTATTGAAATATACTTAATAATGATATGCTTCAAGCCTTACTAAATTTATTCTACTTCCCTAGAAAAAAAATCTATTTTCAATTATACTTTTAGTAGGAAAAGTTCATTAATATATTATATGCCATAAAACAAAACAAAAAAAAATGATTGTTCAATACTGGAGATACTTAGAAACAATTCTAAAATTATGGACAGCCTCTGTTTTGAAATATCCATAATCAGGGATCAATACATGCTGGCTCAATTCACCAGTATGATAAACATCCTAACCAGAAATTTCTGTGTGACACTGTGCCTACCCATACTGCTGCAATCATTCCAGAAAAGCTTACTTACCATCATGTAACATATGAAACATAAAATACTGTCCCTTACATTATATAATGTGCATAAAAGATATTTCCTGTTCAAAATATGTGGAGAAATAAAAAATGATGAGCTAAAATATTAAGAAATAAATCTGAGACAGTTACACTCCATCAGCCTTCATTTTTCATTCATCATGGATAAGCAGACAACAGGGTCTGTTGAACTTGACCGTGATAATGAATATTTCAGGAAAAAGCATCTTACTGGAGAATGGTGTAAATTAGACATAAGTCTCTAACTATAATGGCCACACATTTCTGCAAATGTAAGTCACAAAAAAACTTACTTGCTTCCCACTAGTGGCTTGTGATCATAAAACCACTTGCAGACTGATGCATCTTTGTCTGGATCGAGTTCAATCTGGATGGCTTCCAAGGGTTCCACATCCAACACATTATCAGCATAATCAAGAGGAGGTTCCTCATCATCAAATGGAGGAAAACGCATTCTCTTGAAGTGCCGACGATCTCGCTTCTCCCGGCGCATCATAATCCACATTGTGCTATAATTTAACATAGAGTATACTGTTCATGTAAATGAAAAAATTAAAAAAATGCAACAAGAGAAATCTGTGGTAACAATTTATGCACTTCAAATGGGCTGTATAAAATATACAGATTATTAAATGTCTAATAATATGGCAGGATACAGTGAAATCACATTTAATTTTTTTGTGAAGAACAATGCATATGAAAAAATAAAGTGTGGAAAAATTTATGGGAAACCTCCCAGAGACGTTATGGACTTCAGATCACTGACAGTCAGCATTAAATGAGTGAAAACCTTAAATCAAGGAACATCAAATTGGGGGTCTACCATAAATACACAAACTGTACAATGACAGCAATAACTCAGACTGTAGCTGTGGCCTGTTTTAAGAATGTCAGGATAGTATTATAAGATATTATCCTTATGTTTCTAAAGGATGGATGAAAAAAGGTCTGGATCTCAACCAAGGCAAACTGATGAAATGTAAGTTTTCTGCACATCAAAAATGTTTAAGTTCAAACCCCTCATTCTCATGCGCAAGGACACTACTCACCCCCACTGTGCTATATACACAGGTTCAATGACCCACGGAATCTCATTCACGAAAGTGATGGCTCCAGTGATATGGTACAACACTTTCACATCTCGAATCTGTTCCCAAGGCATCGGCATGTTCTCCAGGAGTTTCATAACTGCATGAGGCATATATTTCAATGCACTGCAATAAAATGCAATGCATGTAAACGCAAACTATGTGTCAATAAAAACAAATACAAAAAGCTGCAACAGAACTTTCCATTGTATCCAAATAACTGAAACAAACATTTAGGAAGATTCATCCAACTATCTGCTTACAAATTAATTGAAAGATATGGAACTGATATCCAAAATAACAAATCTGAAGGTACAGTTTCTGAAAAAATCTAATAATACGTCACCCATATGTAAGATATGTCTCTTACAACACGGCGAAACCATTTTGTTTCAATACTTTTACTGCATATCTAGTGAAATCACGTTTGCACTCCCCCACTACCATCAACTAGCACTTTTATGACTCTCCTCTGACAAATCATGTTATCTGATCTCATTAAAATAAATTATATTTACTATAAAATTATTACATTTTAAAAAATCGATGGCAATAATAATTACAGCAATAAATAATAAGATGAACTGTTTCCTTCTAGAAAGGCAGGGAGATATGCAGTACAGTTAGAGTGGGGCAGGAGGCTGACAGCTTGAAATCCAGTCACCACGCTCATTTTTCCCTGACCCAAGCATAGGTAAAATGTCAGCAAAAACATGTTAAATCCACACAATATGCTGCACATTCAATGAAGACAGGGGATTGGTGGTCTCGGAGATCCACACTACAAAACACTAAAATAATCAAGATGACAATCTACCTACATGCTGCAGCCATGTAAAGTATGCAAACACGTGTATATATATCATTTAGTCTGGATACATACCCTAAATAGACTCGTTTATCATGTCTGTATTTTCTACTGCTCATATCTCCATGATCACGAATGATCTTACGAATATGTTCTGGAGGCATGTCCTCTTTCTGGGCATCAACAAACCCAAATTTCCTCTTCTCTGAGAACCTCTTGGACTGCAGCTGCTGCCATTTTTGTGCTACAAAATTAACAGCCATTATAACTGACACTGAACATAAACACATCTGTCAATCCATTCTCTTAGAATGCTACCCCAGTAAACGGTCAATAAAAGAAACCAAAATGTATTCATTGTATTTGTATTCATAACTGCTACAACAGTAACACCTGAACAAGTCACAGCATTAAATACATCATTATTGAAATCCTTTTGCCCAAATGTCTAAATGATTAGAATTTGTCAATAATATATAATTACTCTTGTCAGTCACGGTAGCTGAGCGGTCTAAGGCATGCACTGTCTTCGCTCTCTTGGTAACCGGGATCGTGGGTTCGAATCCCACCGAGGGCACGGATGTTTGTGTGCTTTTTCTGTGTTTGTCTACAGGTAGAGGCCTTGGGACTCGCCCAAGGAGTCCTACTGTGTAAGATCTAGAAAAACCGAAGTGAACAAAGTTCATGGAGGTAGGCCTAGGCCCACTGGGGTTGTAGTGCAAAGAAAAAAAAAATATAATTACTCTTGACATGGTTAAACCTACAATTAAAATAACATACACTATCAAAACCACATAAACAAACAAATTAGATATAATACATCAATAAAAAATGCAAGCTGATTTAAAAAAATGCCTATCATACTAGTTCTGTTAACCTTAAGAGTTCACTGAGAGAATTTTAAGGGTATTACAGTAAATCAAAAGTCCTACATGCAGAGGCACGTTTGGGAAGACTTGGGGACTGACACCAAGGGTGGCATATTGGATATACACTGCAGTGATAACACCCACAATCACCTATGCCACCACTATACGGTGGCCTACAGTCAAACGCAAAACAAGTAAGGCAGAACTTAGCAAACTGAAAAGGATGGCCTGCTTGGGAATTACAGGAGCAATGAGAACAGCTCCAACAGCTGCAATGGAAATCCTACTACGACCCCTTCCATTGCATTTGCAGATGGAAGCAGAGGCCAATTTAGGAAATTACAGATTACACTGCAATGATTAATGGAGACCTAAATCTGAAGGTTTTGGACATGCATACGTGACTCGGGACATGAACAAAGAACCCATCCTACACATGGGATCTGATAAAACGCTACCGAAACATGTTTATGATAGACCCTTTGCGATCAGATTTCCTGATAGAAGTGAATGGAAAGAGGGGTTTCAACCTGATAGATAGGGGGGACTAATCTGGTATACAGATGGTTCCAAGACAAATAAAGGCACTTGACCTGGGGTGAATTGTGATGGAACGAGGTGGAAACATACATTCAGCCTTGGTCAGTACACAACAGTATTCCAAGCAGAGGTGTATGCCATTAAGGCATACGCAGTTGAGAATTTAGATAGGAACTATAGAAATGGGAACATCTATATCCTATCAAAGAGTCAAGCTGCAATTGAAGCACTTGGTACACACCAAATCACTTCAAAATTGGTTTCGGACTGCCATCAATCCCCCACACAACTGGCCACACATAACAGAGTACAACTGATATGGGTGACAGATCATGAGGGTATTGTAGGGAATGCAACTGCAGATCGGCTGGGAAGAATAGGATCTGAACCAGCTTGTGGCATCTCAGTAGGAGAGTATTGTAGGGAATGAAATCGCAGATCAACTGGCAAGAACAGGATCTGAACAGCTCTTCATAGAACCTGAACCAGCTTGCGGTATCTCAGTAGGAGAGTATTGCAGGGAATGAAACCGCAGATCAGCTGGCAAGAACAGGATCTGAACAGCCGTTCGCAGGACCTGAACCAGCTTTCAGCATCTCAGTAGGAGTACTGTAGGGAATGAAACCGCAGATCAACTGGCAAGAACAGGATCTGAACAGCTCTTCATAGAACCTGAACCAGCTTGCGGTATCTCAGTAGGAGAGTATTGCAGGGAATGAAACCGCAGATCAGCTGGCAAGAACAGGATCTGAACAGCAATTCACAGGACCTGAACCAGCTTGCGGCATCTCAGTAGGAGTGTGTTGCTGGGAATGAAACGGCAGATCAGCTAGCAAGAACAGGATCTGAACAGCCATTCACAGGACCTGAACCAGCTTGAGGCATCTCAATTAGAGTTGCCAAAAACGCGATCAGGGACTGGACTAATAGAAACCATAAAAAATACTGGGAATCCATAATTGGATTCAGACAGGCAAAGGGTTTTATAGCAGGACCCTCTGCCAGAAGAAGGAAGGATCTGTTGAGATTAAACAGAGATCAATTAAGATGGGTGGTAGGATTACTTACTGGACACTGCCACCTGAAAGGACACCTTTTCAAGTTGGGACTGACAGATAACCCAACTTGTGAAAGGTGCCAACAGGAAAACGAATCAACCGCACACATCCTGTGTGATTGTGAGGCCATAGGTTATTTAAGATTTTGTCACTTAGGTCAGTTTTTTATGAAACCAAGTGACTTTTATGACGCCCCCATAATCAGGGTCCTACACTTTATTAAAAGTGTAGGATTAAGAAAGGGTTACTCCAAGGGGAAGCACAATAGATCATTGAAGGTCGCAGTGCAGGGGCCAGTTTTTATGGCCCACCTCTTACATAGATACATACATACAAATCAAAAGTCCTACATGTGGCCATGTCAAACACTGATCACATTAAGGTACTACAAGTAACCATTTGTTACCTATTTCAATTGCTGAATAGAGGGTTTGCTATGCTTATTACTGTCAATCTAAAAGAAACTCATACAATGTATAGAACAGATGATCTGGTAAAAATAATTTTAGTCTATGTTTAAAGTCTTTCCTACGTCCATTTGATTCTCTTAATTCCGAAGGCATTAACACTGTATTATACAATTTAATACCCATATTGATAACACTTCTCTTAAAAGTGGATGTGTCACAATTTGACACATGAAAATCAACTTTCCTTCTAGTATCATATTCATATAAATCTAAATTTCTCGTAGAGTATAAACTATATTTGTGAAAATAGGACAACACCTCAAATATATACGAGGTAACAGTTAAAATCTTTAATTCCTTAAAAATAAGTCTGCATGATGTTCTGCTATTTACACCTTTCATTAAACAAAGTGTCCCTTTTTGTATTTTCACTGCTTTTCAGTACTTTCTCCACCGTAAAAAATCAAACCATAATTTACTAAGGACTGAAATTTGGCAAAGTAAATATTCCTGAGTATAAAGAAACTCATCTAATCTTTCAAGGATTTAATAATGTAACATGCCTTCTTCAATTTTAGACACAAGGACTGAATATGTGAGCTCAAATTTAGATTATTTATTTTATCACTCACTCACTCACTCATGGAGCTCAACAATTCTTGAGAAGATGCCAACTGTGCAGTTACTCAAGAATTTCCCAGCATTTTATGGAACCTGAAGGTTCATTACTGTGTCCACAAGAGCCCTCCACTGGTCCCTATCCTGAGCCAGATCAATCCAATCCATCCCATCTTATCTTTCTAAAACCCATTTCACTATTTTCCGCCCACCTACGCCTTGGTCTTCCCAGTTGTCTCTTTCCTTCTGGTTTTCCCACCAATATCCTATATGCATTCCTTTTCTCACCCATTCGTGCTTCATGACCTGCCTACCTCATCATCCTCATTCTAATTATCTTTGGAGAAGAGTACAAGTTATGAAGTTCCTCATTATGCAGTTTTCTCCAACCTCCTGTCTCTTCATCCCTCTTTGGTACAAATATTCTCCTCAACACCCTGTTCTCAAACACCCTCATTCTGTGTTCCTCCCTTAATGTCAGAGACCAAGGTTCACATCCATACAGAACCACAGGCAAAATTATAGTTTTGTATATTCTAATTTTTATGTTTTTGGACAGCAGACATGAACACAAAAGGTTCTGGACTGAATGATAGCAAGCATTAACCGAGTTCAATCTCCTCTTAATTCCCTCCTCAATCAGGTTTTGATTTGTTACTGTGGTTCCCAAATATCTGAAGTGTGCCAAATTTTCAAAACATCTGTTACATATCTTTATGTCATGATTTTGCTCTGCATTTTGGTGACAAGACAGCAACATATACCTACTTGTCTCTGCGTTTGCTTGTAGACCAACCTCCTTACTACCGTCAATTAAAGTCTGTGTGATTTTCTTTATGGGATCTATTTTTATCATCATCAGTACAGACCAACAGCTGTTGTATCTCGTTTATACTCATTTATAACTTCCACCTACCCTCATCAACTTTATCAGTATATCAAAAAGGAGTCTACTTTACTGGCATAAAAGTGTTCAACAATCTGCCACAAATCATTAAAAACTTGGGCAATGATACTAAAAAGTTTAAATCAGAGTTAAAGAATTATCTACATGCTCATTCCTTCTACTCTTTAGATGAATACTTCAATGTAAATAGAGAATGATGTAAAATTAAGTTATATTAATTTTTAAGCTAAAATTGCCTGTACTTATGTATGTAACCTTTTGACTTGTTCTGTATCCAAAGGTACTAACCTGCTTAGGATTTATAGAATGTAAATAAATTCAATTCAATTAATTTCAGTCCCACCTGGCTTTCCTGGACCTTCTTAATAGCATAATCTAAAGCAAAGTTGAAAAGGAGTGGCAATAAAGCATCTCCTTGTTTCAGACTATTCCAGATAGGAAAATTATCAGACAAATGTTTACCTATACGGACTTTTCCATACGTTTTGTTTAAACACATTTGAATCAGCCTCACTAGTTTCATGAGTACTACAAGCTGTATCAGAATATTCCTAACTAAATTACAGGCTTTCTTGAAGTTGACAATAAGCTGATATACTGTCTCATTGTACCCCCATTTTTTCTCCAGTATCTGACAAATGCAATTATCTGATCTGCAGTTGATCTGTTATGTCAAAATCCACACTGATGATCCCCAATAATTTCATCTATGTATGGACTTAACCTTGAGACAGAATATTGGATAAAATTTTGTATGAAGTTGATAGCAGTGATATCCCATGATAATTACTACAGTCAGCAGCCATCCTTATTGTGAACTAATACAATATTAGACTACTTCC